TGTTGGGATCTGGTGCAATAACAAGTTTAATTCATAAATTATATATGACTTAATAAATGAATTTATACTTTTCTACAAATGGATTGAAGTAACTTCTTGGTCCGCATATTAGATTATGTCATGCGACCTGCCCTGCTCCTGTTTTCTAATTGAAATAACCCTTATACATACAATTGTTTCAAATAATATCAAACTTGTTCAAAGGGGTGCCTGGGTTAGGTCTTCAATGACATCAACATGCAGGCTTCCAACTCAATGTTTATAGCAGCTTTTAGTCCTAAACTGATAAAACTCTGCATGGCCAGAATAGATAACCACCATTATGCAAAGTCATCTTTTCACTGTTTCTAGAGCAAGAAGGAAAGCTATGAATATTATATTGATTAAAAGGTAAGTAACCATCAGACTGAAAGTACATCAAGCAATAATAGTTTGACCGTCATTCTCTAACATGCACTAAGAAAACATGAAACCCAATTAGTTGTAAGGGTAACATCTCCATTTTTTTTATTTAGCTTTCATATATCAGGCTGATCTCATTTTGGGAGTGACTGTAGCTTGACCTGCATTAAAGTTTTTCACTAGTTAACACCTAATTCATGCTTAGAAACCATTGCTCTCAGTCTCAACCATTTTATTCCCAGAGCATTGTGCTTGCTCTCTGCTTTCACAGCATTATGCAATTAATTGCTTCTTTAAGCTGCAGAAGTAAATTGTTGGGTCCACAATTCCTTCCCTCCTTTTAGACATGTTGATCATAGCGGATCACTGCAAAGCTTTGTATTTACCAGTATGATTATTTCACTCAAACACTTCACAGCGAACTCGCAATCCCATTAAAATGTTTCACAGCAACTGCAGGCTCTTGACAGAAAATGCTTCTGAAGTATGTGCCTGTTTGTCTTGCAACTGACTTCCCATTAAGGCTAATTACTCTGGGGCCATTGTCCTTTATTATACACTTAGCTTACCTTTAAAACGTTTGGATTAGCAACAAATGCAGCCATGGGTTGCAGTCTGATGCAGATTTGTCAAGTGCCGTTAATTAGAAAAGATGCTGCGAATATTGCAAAAGCCATGATAAATGACACTTCAGCATCAATGGTCCACTTCACTTTAGAAGTCTCAGGTGTGTTATACTGCTGAATTTCCCTTCCAATAAACTGGATTTAATATCTTTTTTTTTCCTTGCGTCCTAAAGCAACTATTGCTTTGTGGTTTCTTTTGGTACCACATCTGCTTTTTATCCATTTTATGTCCTTTTTCCCCCCAGATGGTGTGTTGACTTTGTAACTAATAAGATCGAAAGGAAATGCAGACGCAGCTTAAGCTTCCAAAGCCAAACAAATGTGGAAACCTTCAAAGCCAAACCCCTGTTTTCACACGAATGAAAACAGAAAATCGTTTAATGAAGCTGGAACAGCTTCTACATAAAAGATAGAAGGAGGACGGTATACCCTCAAGGCTTGATTTATAAAGCTCTGCCATCCATAATCTTCTGTAATCTAAAAGGGACTTAAAGATGTCCTAGGGTTAAGTAATCCATATATATGAAATGATCATTGTATGATCTGCAAAATTGAGTGGTACTGGGTAATGAGCAGATGATCTGTGGGTGATTACAGACCTCAGCAGAACCCCATCTCTGGTTCTTTGGGTGCACATAGAAAGGTAGATCTCACACTGGAAATTGCTGATATAGCTAAAGATAAAATGTCCTTTTCTGATGACCGATAGACTGTTTGGCAGTTGGTTGTGCACACATTTTACATTATGTCTGAGTTTCTCTGTGTGCAATAACAAGCACTTCTTGTGCTGATAGGTGTTAATTACAGCTTTGAATCTAAGTACTACACGCAGCAATCACTGATCTGTTGCATCATTTGCGTTTATAGTGCCATGTATGACCACTCTTTATAAAAGACTTTCAACTAGTCTATATTTTTCTTATTTTCCACCCTCAACTGAAATGAATAGAATGTTGGGGAGGTCTATCTGGCACAAAAACAGGCACACCTTTAAGATAGGATCATGCATGTCTGTTTGCTTATATATTGGAGAACCACAATCAGACCTGCATTTTAAATTTGCTGACAAAGAGCAGCCCCTCATCTACAGAATATTACACTCCAATTGAGGTAATTTACAAATAAATTTAAGGTGCCCGAACACAAAAAAAATCCCTCTATCCAAATGAAGTGATTAGTAAGTTTGTGCTGTCAATATGCACAGTGCATTATACAAACAAGTGCAGCATAAAACATCAGGAGCGCAGCATCGGATAAACACTTCATTAGCCTGCTGACAATTTCTCCCATTTTGAGATGATTCTTCATTGGCGGTGTCGGTGTAAGTCAGGCACCCCACAGTGTAAATCAGGCACCTCAGTTCACATCCCATGTTTTGGTTGTACAATACGAGATTTATTTAAGAAAGTGTATTTGTGTCTATCAAGTAAAAACAAAAATAGGTTTTCTTATAGTCAATGTATTGCTATTTACGGAACCATGCTTTAATGTGTATGGCGAGCTTCAGAACTACAGGTAATATACAAACCTGTTTTGCCCACTTCCCTATAAGAGGTGCAGTCTACGGAGTTGGTGAAATACCGTTTAATAAATGAACCCCAAAGTATCGTATAGAAAACATTCATTATTGTTTTAAAACATTTCTAGCATGCGTTTACAGCAAGGACACAATGAGCACATATATTTTCTATGTACTAATCTATGCTTTGTTGTTATTACAGAAGCAAAGGATTAGTGGCTGGATACCGGCATTATAGATAATAATTCATCAATTAGATCCTCTTATCTCTGTGGAACTCTGACAGGCAGATTGCAGGACATGAGTTTCCAACTCTTCCCTCCTGCTGTGCATATTACCAGGGGTCCCACTCCGCCTGCTGTGACAATAAAGCAGGATAGGTGAGCTCATCTGGATCCTTCTCACCTGCATCCACTTACAGTGTAAAGTAGATTTAAACACTAACTGCATGTCATGTAGCTTGCTAAAGCACTGTGTATTACAAACAATTGCCAAGTTGTTTTTTATAAATTCCGTTTTTTTGTGGGGTTTTTTTTGCATCTTAGTGCTGCTTATCTCATGCAGCATCTTTCAACTACTTCCTCTCTACATACACTCACTCCACGGTAGGCTGCACACCATTGCTGTGTACCCGCCTTCTGATTGTGAGATTGATGGATCATGTCTGCACATGGAGGAACTTATCAAAATTGGAGCAGGCAGAATCTGGGGCAGTTGCGCATAGTAACCAATCAGCTTCTCTCTTTCATTTTCAAAGCTTAAATAACCAAATAGAGATAGAAGCTGACTGGTTAATAAGGCAACTGCACCATGTTCTGTCTGCTTCAGTTTTGATGAATCTACTTATAGCAGGGGTGGACGACTCCAGACCTTCAACTGTGCTTTAACCACGCCTCCCGCCTCCACCCCTCCTCCACTACCGCTGCTGGTTATCTCGGGCTCTGTTGTCCCCCCTGCGGGCCCGGGACCGGCACAGCGGCTGCTTACACTAGGAACGAAGGAGAAACCAGCATTCCCCAACTGCTGATCTCTCCTCCGATGCTTGAAGGGGGAAGTGACATGTATTACATGTGTATTACATCACTTCCACCTTTAGATATCATTTCCCTGGCTGCTATAGTCAGAGAAGAAGCTGGTGAAGCAGATCTGTGCTTCATCAGCTTCTTTGGGGGTCCATAGTTGACATTAGGGGTCTTAGAGACCCCTAATGTCTCCATAAAGAGGAACTGTCATTGTATATTTGTTATCACATAGGAGACTTGTTAGCACCATATGTGCTAGCAATAAAGTTATTATTATTATTAATATTATTATACAGGGTTTATATAGCGCCAACAGTTTGCGCAGCGCTTTAAGTTAAGTGTAAAAAACAAAAAGTTTAAAAAATATATATATAAAGTCACATATAAAAAAAAGTATAAAAACACAAAAGAACGTCCCCTGCCCCATTTGCACGCACATGTAAATGTAAATATGCGTCAGGTGCGCCTAAGTGCGAAAACAAAGATTAGGCCACACATGTTACATATCATTGTGAACGTAGTAGTGAGAGCAATACATTTAGGGTCATTAATCACTGATAACAATAAACTGATGAGCGGTAAAAGCTTTTAAAGTGTTGCCTATGGCCAATTTTAGGTATGGTCGTTTTTTTGCGATTTCGCAGGCGCACACAATTTAAAAGCTTGACATGTTTGGTGTCTATTTACCCGACGTGACCCTGTCTTTTATATTTTACCAAATATTTTGGTATATATAAATGTTTTATAACATATTGTAAGGAAAAGTTATTTTTTGAAAATCCTAGGCTCTTTTTTCTTTATATAGTAAAAAATAAAAAACCCCCAGTAATGATTAAATACCACCAAAAGAAAGCTCTATGTGTCGCCAACAAATGGTATAAAATTTCAGTACAGCGTTCCATGAGGGAATAAATGTCAGTCAAAGTACCGCAGCGCTGAATATTGAAAAATGGCCTGGCAAGGAAGGGGGTCCTGAAGTGGTTAACTAAAAATCCCAACATGCCTCTGCCTCTGGGAGTCATGCGTGTCAATGTCAGCCTTGCAATGCCTCATGGGACTTATAGTTCCACAACAGCTTGAGGGCTGCAGTTGCCCACCTCTAGCTTAGTGTTCATCAGGTGTACATGTGTCAGGGTGACATCCCAAGGGCACAGTTGGGTTGCCACCCCATAACAGGAAGTGCCTGAACTTGGACGTTCATGGCAAGATCACCGGGTGTTAGTCTAATATTTTAAAAGCTTATGAAATTACTTTTGCAGTAGCATCCCCATGCTAGGGCTTGCGTGAGCTTTGCGTGATTGGGTTTCTATCTACCTAAATCCATTATTAGAAATTCTAGTTTTGAATAGACAGTAAAGGAAAGCTACAAAGGAGGAGAATGTACAGTGCATTTGAAAGCCAAAGCTAAGACAAGGTTGTTCTCTTACTTACTGTAGAAGATGTACTCAGTGTAGCTGCTCCAGATTTTGTCATCCCTGTATTGGTTCACAAAGGCTGCTGTTCCTGTCGAGTTGCAGGCTACCATGTGAAATCCAGCTTCAGAGAGCCTGTCAAAAGCTTGCTCCAGGTAGGTGAATTTCAGGTAGAACCTCGACGTGTACTTTTCAGGTGGGCGATCGGGGTCGCGACTCTCGTTTAACGTTTCGCCAAAAACTTCTTTGGCCAGGGCTATTCTACCGCAAACCATGATCCTGGCCACCCTCCTGAACTTGGCATCAGCCTGGTTATCTCTGACCATGGTGTAGGAGCCTCTGTAGCCGATGGTGATGAAGCCAGACTTTTTGTCCAGGGCTGCAGTCCTGATCAGATCACTGCTCTGGGAGTTCTCCTCCAGGTCACTCTGACAACCCTCATCGTTCAGGGAGCTCTGCTTGGTGACTTTAGGTGTCAGCAGCTTGACCAGGTCCTGGAGCTGGAAGTACTCAGCCTCTCTGAGCAGCCTTTCTTTCTCCGGGAAGTGATCGGGCAGAGACAGCTGCTTGTCCCGAAGGTAATCCAGTACATACCTGAAGAGGAAGCCGTCCCTGTCTATGAAGAAGCGGGCACGGTTGTCCCGGGGAAGCTCCTTGACGTTGTTCCTGGAGAACATGCTGTACAAAGTGCTGTCCGGAACGCTGGTGAGAGTCGAGTGTTTGGTCACATAGACTTGGCCGCCCACGTTCAGCTCTACTACTTCTGGGAAGGGATAGGACATGTCGCTGATGGGGAGGATTGTGTCTTTCAGAGCCATGGCTCCACATCAGCACCGGCAATAATGATGAAGGGTGAAGGATGGGAGGACGCAGCCCGGGTGACTAGAAGAGCGCTGGATGGCTTCCTGCACTCCGATCCCCGACTGACAGATTCAGCACCGCGGACAGCGCACACGTCACAGTCACCAAGGGCTGGGCTACGCGAACTTTTTGCACTTCTCGGTGAATCTCAGCCAGCCCGGCATCCCCTGCCGTGTGAATGTACTTTCCACGTCCACGAGATCTGCTAGAAGGTGGAGCGAATCATTCTTCAATATATCGTAGGGGAAGGCTGAACGTGTAACTCCTCCATAGAACTCAGTCTCTGCCCTCAGGAGGAGCTGCTCTTCCTATGGAAGAAAAGAGCCCTGAGGTTTTTTTTTATCTTTGCCAAAATGTGTAAGTATGCCCAGTGCGCCCTCCACCACTGTTGTTGGATCATCTCCTGCCCCCAGCACTGTCAGATCAATCTCTGGTGGTCAGAGATGTCCCCAGCACTGTCAGATCAATCTCTGGTGGCCAGCAATGACCCCAGCACTGTCGGATCAATCTCTGGTGGCCAGCGATGACCCCAGCACTGTCGGATCAATCTCTGGTGGCCAGCGATGACCCCAGCACTGTCGGATCAATCTCTGGTGGCCAGCGATGACCCCAGCACTGTCGGATCAATCTCTGGTGGCCAGCGATGATCTCAGCACTGTAGGATAAATATCTGGTGGTCAGTGATGTCCCCAGCACCGTCAGATCAATCTCTGGTGGTCAGAGATGTCCCCAGCACTGTCGGATCAATCTCTGGTGGTTAGAGATGTCCCTAGCACTGTCGGATCAATCTCTGGTGGTCAGAGATCTCCCCAGCACTGTCATATCAATCTCTGGTAATCAGTGATATCCCCAGCACTGTCAGATAAATCTCTGGTGGCGAGAGATGTCCCCAGCACTGTCAGATCAATCTCTGGTGGCCAGCGATGATCCCAGCACTGTCAGATCAATCGCTGGTGGCCAGCGATGATCCCAGCACTGTCAGATCAATCGCTGGTGGCCAGCGATGATCCCAGCACTGTCAGATCAATCGCTGGTGGCCAGCGATGATCCCAGCACTGTCAGATCAATCGCTGGTGGCCAGCGATGATCCCAGCACTGTCAGATCAATCGCTGGTGGCCAGCGATGATCCCAGCACTGTCAGATCAATCGCTGGTGGCCAGCGATGATCCCAGCACTGTCAGATCAATCGCTGGTGGCCAGCGATGATCCCAGCACTGTCAGATCAATCGCTGGTGGCCAGCGATGATCCCAGCACTGTCAGATCAATCGCTGGTGGCCAGCGATGATCCCAGCACTGTCAGATCAATCGCTGGTGGCCAGCGATGATCCCAGCACTGTCAGATCAATCGCTGGTGGCCAGCGATGATCCCAGCACTGTCAGATCAATCGCTGGTGGCCAGCGATGATCCCAGCACTGTCAGATCAATCGCTGGTGGCCAGCGATGATCCCAGCACTGTCAGATCAATCGCTGGTGGCCAGCGATGATCCCAGCACTGTCAGATCAATCGCTGGTGGCCAGCGATGATCCCAGCACTGTCAGATCAATCGCTGGTGGCCAGCGATGATCCCAGCACTGTCAGATCAATCGCTGGTGGCCAGCGATGATCCCAGCACTGTCAGATCAATCGCTGGTGGCCAGCGATGATCCCAGCACTGTCAGATCAATCGCTGGTGGCCAGCGATGATCCCAGCACTGTCAGATCAATCGCTGGTGGCCAGCGATGATCCCAGCACTGTCAGATCAATCGCTGGTGGCCAGCGATGATCCCAGCACTGTCAGATCAATCGCTGGTGGCCAGCGATGATCCCAGCACTGTCAGATCAATCGCTGGTGGCCAGCGATGATCCCAGCACTGTCAGATCAATCGCTGGTGGCCAGCGATGATCCCAGCACTGTCAGATCAATCGCTGGTGGCCAGCGATGATCCCAGCACTGTCAGATCAATCGCTGGTGGCCAGCGATGATCCCAGCACTGTCAGATCAATCGCTGGTGGTCAGAGATGTCCCCAGCACTGTCGAATCAATCTCTGGTGGTCAGTGATGTCCCCAGCACTGACAGATCAATCTCCGGTGGTCAGAGATGTCCTCAGCACTGTTGGATCAATCTCTTGTGATCAGTGATGACCCCAGCACTGTCAGATCAATCTCTGGTGGTCAGTGATGTCCCTAGCACTGTCAGATCAATCGCTGGTGGTCAGAGATGTCCCCAGCACTGTCGGATCAATCTCTGGTGGTCAGAGATGTCTCCAGCACTGTCGGATCGATCTCTGGTGGTCAGTGATGTCCCCAGCACTGTCGGATCAATCTCTGGAGGACAGAGATGTCCCCCGCATTGTCAGATCATCTCTGGTGGTCAGTGATGTCCCCCACACTGTTGGATCAATCTCTGGTGGTCAGTGATGCCTGTCTCCTCCTATGCTGCAGTGATGGTATGTCCCTCGGCATCCTCATGTCCTATACACTGTGTATAGAATGTGATGACTCAGGGACTTTAGATCTCTGCAGCAGAGGGGGAGACAAGCTGGAAGGACTGGTCTAAGATCAAGCCACCTGTGAGGTTAGGGTGAGGATAACTTTTTTTCTTACCCTAGACAAAAACAAGCAGTTAAGCCTTTCAGTGTGGGAATTAAAACATTTTTTTTTTACCCAGAATTCTACTTTAAAAGTTTGTCCTTCTCCAGCACTGTCACATTTTCAGCCCTTCACACAGATTTGGGGACAGAAGATGGATCAGACAGTGCTTGAGAAGGGCACACTTTTAAGGTAAGTGTGCCCTTCTTCGGTGTTGCCAGATTGATCTTCGGTCCTCAGCGCTGTCCCCTGCCACCACCATCTCCACCACTGCACAGCATACTTGGACATTAGGGCACACTTACCTTACAAGAGTGCCATGGCAATGTCAGATTGATGTTTGGTCATCAGCGCTGTCCCCCGCCACCACCATCTCCACCACTGCACAGCATACTTGGACATTAGGGCACACTTACCTTACAAGTGTGCCATGGCAATGTCAGATTGATGTTTGGTCATCAGCACTGTCCCCCGCCACCACCATCTCCACCACTGCACAGCATACTTGGACATTAGGGCACACTTACCTTACAAGTGTGCCATGGCAATGTCAGATTGATGTTTGGTCATCAGCACTGTCCCCCGCCACCACCATCTCCACCACTGCACAGCATACTTGCACATTAGAGCACATTTACCTTACAAGTGAGCCACGGCAACGTCATATTGATCTTCGGTCATCAGCGCTGTCCCCCGCCACCACCATCTCCACTGCAGCACAGCATACCTGCACATTAGGGCACAGTTACCTTACAAGTGTGCCACGGCAACGTCATATTGATCTTCGGTCATCAGCACTGTCCCCCGCTACCTGCACATAAGGGTACACTTACCTTAGACGTGTGCCCATCTCCAGCGCCTTTGGATCCATCTTTTGTCTCCAGTCATCTGGAGACAAAAGATGGACTGCCGTCATCTCTGTTGCAGCACGGCATACTTGCACTATAGGGCACACTTACCTTCAAAGTTTGTTGGATCCATCTTCGCTCCCAAGCTCTGTTCCCCGCCACCTCCATCTCCACCGCAGCACAGCGTACTTGACATTAGGGTGCACAAAGAATAAAAAAGTCACTGGGGAAGAGCACCCAATTTTATTTTATTTTTGCAGAAGAGACTTTGGATGTCTCTTCTGCCAAAAATGTTTAATTTTTTCCTCTTTTACTATAAGCTTTAAGCTCTCCACTTGTTACAATCTGATTATACAATCTCCTTCTACCAACAACTATGTACTTCAAGGTAAATAAATAGACTAAAACTAAATAAACGGTGTTGTGGATGAAATTATTGAAAAAACTTCATACCTAATAAAGGTGGATAATAAACTGTGAACCATTAAATATAAATATGTCCTAATAGTTGATAATACGTGAAATTTCTTTAGTGAGTCAAAATTATATATTCATAAATCAATGTGAGAACATGAAACATCCCAGTGTAAAATGTAACAAAGATTCAAATAGTGAAAAGAATTGTTATACAAAAATATGTGACATACTGTATATTATTGGACACAAAGTAGCCAAATAAATCAACATGAAACACAGTGATGTTTTTCTTTCAAAATCCCAGTAATAAAGTGGCAATGAATTGTGAGATAAGTGAAATGCTAAGTAATTTGAATAAAAAAATCAAAAAGAAAAAGTCCAAATAGTGAGAAGAAATCGTGAGGAAAAATCTTCTCAATCTAAGTCTTCTGATCAGCAGTCCCCCCAGGTAATTAGTACTCACCAGAACCAGTGAGTATATACGATCATTCAGAGAGAGTCTAGACTTCTGATCACCCCGTTCGGTGTTCTCAAGCTTTCCCCAGCGGTAGGACAGATACTGACAGGCGTTCCCCCCTGCAGTATCGCCACGGTCCCGGCTCTGAGTTTGAAGAAGGCGGCGGCTTCTCTCCGTTGTGTCCCGCTGGTGTTTCTCCCGCGGTCTTGATCAGTATATTTAGAGGGGTTTTGGAAAAGAAAAAAAAACAACCCTCATAGTGCAATTAATCAGTAAAAAGTTTTATTAAAACGTCTTCCGGAGTCTGCTTGAGCATGGAAGGAACAGTGGCCACCCGTTTGTGTTTTGCCGGCCGATGTTCGTAATTTTAAATGTAAGTTGCTATTTTTTTATAAAACTTTTTGCTGATTGATTGCACTATGAGGTTTTATTAAAAAAGTTTTATTAAAAAATAGCAACTTACATTTAAAATTATGAACATCGGCCGGCAAAACACAAACGGATGGCCACTGTTCCTTCCTTGCTCAAGCACACTCTGGAAGATGTTTTAATAAAACTTTTTGCTGATTAATTGCACTATGAGGGTTGTTTTTTCTTTTCCAATGTTTTGTTATACTATGTACTACAAGGGCCTGCCTAAATGGATGCAGATTGATTGGATAGTTTAGATTGATCCTCAC